GGTACAAGGAGCTCTAGTCAGATAAACTTAACTCATGGTGCTCACTTTATCTTTGAACTATAATAAGATTAAACTTAAAATACAAGTAACTTCAAGAGACATTTATATTAGATTTAAGTTCATTTCTAGTTTTGCACACCTTATAAGACCCCATTCTCAAATTTTAAATTATGAAAAGTCCCATGAGCCTTTGCTGCCCGAGCAAACATTCAATTTTCTCCATGCCCATGGGCTAGAAAAAAAATGTGGGCAACTGCACTGGCTGCAGCTTAATCATAAAAAATACAACTTTCATTGAAATATTTGCATTTCGTGTATTATATTACTGCATTTGGCCCACCCCCCTCAGATTGATTTTAATTTTGGCCCTTTCAGAGAAAATGTTTGGGCACCCCTGCTGTAGCACATGATTGTGTGGCCTCTTGTGATGTTTATCTGCGCAGTACCTCGATGTTTGGGTCCCTGACTGTTATAGTGACACCAAGATGAGGAGAGTGGCTCAATCTCTTGAAATCCCAGGGCTCTAACAAGAAGTGACCTAAAGGTAGGAGTCACAATTGGTTATTAACCCAAAAGCCTTTTACAAGAACAAGTGTGTTCATCAAGAAAGTAATATTTCATATTTAAAAACAATGGATTAAATGCTGTTATTACACATGAAAATTTGCTTTTGCAAACATTTGAGCAAAAATGTATGAATGAATATACATTAGAGAAACAGTGAATCACAATATTTCTATCCCCTTCCCCCACTTGGGAACTGTTTTCACAGTTATTGCCATGGTCAAGGATAAAAATGACTCTCTGGAGGACAATTACTCGTCGAGGACTCACCGGTCACCAGCGTGTCTTCTGGAATCTCCTCGATGATACATTTTTCCTCCAGCTCACCGAGATCAAAATACATGGCTGCCGCCAACATGAGGTAACACTGGAGGAGGACGCCAACTCCTTGCAAACCCATTTTACATTAACGACGCACGATTCGATTACAATACACCCGGCAGTGACTCAAAAAAGAAAAAAAAAATTGGCTTGTAGAGTTTTGTTAATTTGTAAAACCTCAGAGGTCGCTTTGCTTTTCGTGTGGAACTGTCCAAGCCTTGCAAGCATTTATTTAAAGTGCAAGGCTTCTAGGTGACGGTTGGAGTGTGAGAAACTAACAGGTGTTATTTCATGTGACAAGACATTCTGTAACTGGCTGACGTTTGAACCAATAGGAAATCTATTGAAGTAACACTGAGCTGGGTTCATTCTACCATGAAGCGGTTCCTTCTTTTGGGGTTGTCTTTGAGGACGTTGCTAATGCTAATCTAATTCAGCATCTGCAAAAGTCTGAAGTGAAGAGACAGATTTCCGTTTCCACCCACAATTCAGTCACGTAACAAGAAAGTGTCAAATGTAAATCRAGCCTTTTTTTATATTTGATAAAGCTTTAAACGCCTACAAAATGATCTAGTCAGCAGAATCTGTGTTTAGTTCATTTTAAATATATAACACCAGTTCTTGAATAAAAGCAGTCCAGCAGTATTATTTATGCTTGACATTCTGCGTGCGTGTGCAGCGTAGGACATCAGATTTCTTTCAGTTTGAAGTATTTTAATACAAGCATTTGGTGAACAAATTTAAACAGCTGCAGAAGCACCTTTGTCTTTTTTATGAGCAACACTTCATCTGAGTAAATAGTATCCAGAACCAGGGCTTGAATCTACTTCATCAGGTTTAGTACCGTTCTTCTACAGTCGAGCATCAATGGCGTTAGCTAACACCGTCCTGGAGAGCCAGATGTAAGTAAGCCACAAATGTGTGGTTTACATTTATCACTGGGCACAGACATTAAAACACAAAGTGCACTGTTTTTAAAATCAATGTTAAAATATTTTGAGCTAAAACATAAACTCTCCCTCCACTTACAAAAAATAAAAAAATAAAAAAAAATCAGCAAAGTGACAGTTTTATTTGATACATCTACAGTTTAACTCTTACACAACATTTTTTTTCACATTTTATTCTTTTTATACAAAAAACTTACTCTTGTGTTAGATGTATGTCACAGTAAAATATAGGAATACAAATTATTACTATGAAATCAGTATGCTGTACAAAACAGGTTAAAATCCTGTCAATAAATATATTCCTTTTCTTGAGGAAATCTACCCCAATTTGTCTGCCGACTAGGTTTGAAAGCAGCATTGTTGAGGAGACTGTGTGACAYCGGTGAAGGTGTAAACATTACTTCTCATCAACAACGCTGCTTTAAAACCATCCTGTTTAATTTTAGGTGTAGCTACAGATTTTAACTTTCGGTTGATTTCTTTGTTTTTGGTAGCATTTAAAATAGTTTTAGCTTCAGAAATGTAAAACTATACAGAATTACTGTGCAATTCATTTTCATTTCATGGTTTGGTTTAAATCAACATTGTCTCTGTTCATTTTATAATCTGCCAAAACTGAATTAGTGTCAAATACATGTTTTGCCAAACATCTCACCTCTTTAGCAATGTAACATATACCTCAGTTTACAAAAGAAATCTGAATTAATTTTCACAGAATGGTGATCAGATCGGCGAGTTTAGGCCTGGTGTGAATATACGGCAGATCTTTTGCTGTTTTTCGATCGTCTTTGTCCCTTCCTCCCTTTCCTGGACTTCTTGTCTTTTTTCTTTCTTCTCTCCTTCCTCTCTTTCCTCTCCCTCCTGTCCCGGCCTAGTCATAAACAGTTGTCTGGGAAGCACTTCCTCTCCTCCTCCAGCAGGGGGCAGGCTGCTCCGTTGTTGGCTGGGTGCATTATGACGTAGCGGGTACGGTGCTTCACACCTGAGTCTCCACATTTGCCTTTGCACAAACCCCAGGGCGACCATACTGACACCTCGCAGTCCAGAGGGGTATCTGTACAGAAAGTAACACATTTTCATCATTGTGTGTGTGTGTATATTTCCTTTTTTTTTTGATGTGGTCTTGTTGATTTATACCCCTGACAAAGATACAATAACTCCTTTTTTGAATTGCCATACTTCGTGGTCGTGGGAAATTTGTGGATGGAGGATTGGGTCTTACCGTCATAAAAATAAATGCCAAGATTGAAAATATTTTGCATTCAGAAAAAGCCATTTGTCTTCAATAATTGTTTGGATTTCATAGTGCAATTAAATAATTATACGGTAAATATTATAATATTACAGTAAATATTGGCATACAACATAATCAGTTCCCTATAAACCTCTAACTTTTTGTGCTTAAGTCTTGACACCTGATGTGCTGCTGGAATTACCTTTATTTACCTTTGCATTTTATTTAATAAATGAGTTTCTAATGCTTGTTATTTTATATATTTCCAACAATAATATCAATGTTTAACTCTCCTACTCTTTGCTCTCAGTCTTCATTTCTCCAACATCATGAACTGGCCTGGCTGCATCAGCCAGTTGGATATGTGTTTAAGTGCATCTGATACGTATCACAGTTGTGGGCTAAAAAGTAGAAAAGCAGAAGGATTGGAGGCGGTACGGAAGCTGCAAAAGAAGGATAGATTCAGGAATTGAACCTGAATGTCAAGTCAAGGCTGATTTTGACAGTTTTCTGTCTTTGTATTCCCATTTATTGCAACTGGAAGGAGAAGCTGATAAAACACCGCAAGAAGCAAAGCTGATTTAGATTGATTGACATCAGTGTTTTATTATTAGTCAGATAAGATCTACAGCTGGTGATTGCTATCATTCGGGGAAGCTTTTGAACAGGCTCAAGAGCAGAGAGGAGATTAATTGAATGAGAGGGGAAAGATAAACAGATGGTGGGACAGGATGGAGCACCGGGGAGCAGGGCAGGAAACCCCAACAGATTGTTGGCTACTTTCTGTTTGTTCGTGGGTAGTCAAGGGAACAGACTCGTATGTGATGCTGACTCAGACCCTTACTGTCATGCTAAACAGTGAATTTAATTAAAGGGCAGTTTGTTCCTTTCTTTCCTATTCTCTTTTTCCTAAATCATTTTCTTGGTGAAGTCATGTATTTTTTATCCTTTGATGAAATTAGATTGTTTTTATTTTTTTCCTTTTTGTCAAACAAAATGTTCGACTACTGCATTGATTTTTAACCTTTGATGAAATTGAACATTCTTTTTATTTTCCATTTGACCAACTTATTATTTTTAGAACTACTTGTCGTTGGACTTTTTATTATTACCACATGTTAAATGTGAACACTTCTGGTAGCCAACTCTGAGTGTTTACAGCTCCACCTTATAGATGTTAGTTTGTGGGTCTGTGTCCCATTTTGGGTCTGGATTTAATCGCTTCTGTACATAATTGCCACATATTCTTCCATGCTTCATATTATGCCTGTCTCGTTGGTTGCCAGATGTGCTTCTGGCATTTTCTGATGCCATGCACTCAGTTGGCTTCTCTGGTTTCTGGTTGGAAGTAATTGAGTTTGTGTGTGGCCAGTAATGTTTCCCAAATGTTCAAATGAGTCAGAACAAMAGAGAGATTTACAGTCATTTGGTAAATTCTGAATTTAGGAAAATGTGGCAAAATATATTTCATTAATCTTTTTAATCAGTGTACATTTTTGTGCAAATATGTTTTTTTACGTAAATGAGTACATGCTTTACTTTTTCTTATGGTCCAGGAGTGAACAGCTTTGACTTTATGTAAAAAAAAATAAAGTCTGCTCTACTGTTCGTATAAAATGAGGTCAGTAAAGTTTGGCTTCATGAGATGTTTTTTGATTGTTCAGTCTCACGACGACTCGCTTCGCCCTAACTCGATTCCGCTCGGGTCTTCAATGTGGGCGGGTCTTTAGAGYGTGGCCACCCAAAACTAAAAAGCTAAAGCTAGCTTTCCACAGTCATTGTAAGTCCCATGTTCCAMACTGTAAAAGTTATTGCTGTTATATATTAACATGTATGTGCTGCATCTGTTTCAGATGGTTCTTGTCATAAAATTATTGCTGCATACTGTCAGTCTGGGCATTCAACCGAGATGCTCTGATKCTGCACTTGTTGTGCAATATTTTTTTGTCTTATTGGCTTCCCAGTCATCTACTTATGTGCTCCTATTGTATGTTACTATGAAATTTAGCAATAACCCTTATAACCTTTGCAGATATTATTTCACTTAAGTTTTATCATACGCCAGTTTGTGTTAAAATAAGTTCAATCTTATTAAACACTTATCCATTATTATGAAATACAGTGTGGCACAGAATTTCTTGATAAAGTGGTACTGTCACTGAAGTGTATCAGCACATTAACAGATACAGTTTTTGTGTGATGACTTCAGCTGATATGGAAAATACCTTATTTTGGTAACTTTGTCTTGAATGTAAGCCATCATTTCAGCAAAATGTCTTGGATAAATGTTTAATTCTCACTGATTCTTTCCCCAACACTGTTTGACTTAACAGAAAAATCATGATTCAATCACATGTAACTGATTAAAAAAATGTTTATTAAAATCTTTTTCAAAACCCAAACTGGTTTTTCCAAAATGGTTACCAAGGCTGGGATGATAACAATCCACTTTGACTCTAATGTAGCTTAGTTACAGTTGTAAAATTATATTTATAGCGTAGGTGATGCAAGCCCTACAAGCATTATTTTTCTTTGTCTTTATTCTGAGTTAGTTTACATTGCACATCAGCAGATTACAATGCACAGTTTACAAACAAAATTACAATTTTTATTTTTTTTAATACTGGAGATTTATCATTTCAGAGTTTTATG